CCTAGATTTTTTACTTTTGATGCAATTTTCAACTAGAATTTCATGTTTCTGAAAGTTTGCTAGTGATCAGTCATCAACTTGGGCCAGCACACAATTGGGGTGTCTGTCTTTACTGCAATAATAGTAGGTATAACTTGGAAAGGTCGAACTCTATTTCGAATCAAGCTAACAATGGAATCTTAACATTGATGTGAGGATGTAATTGAGCAGTTAGCTAATTGTTAATCAGATGAGTTATGTACTTTTAAGCATCTTAGAGTTGTACAGTCTCAAGTATTTCCAGCTTTTCTAGTTTTTCTGGTCTGATTTTGTTTGCTCTGTGGAAAAACTAGGTTGTTGTACCTAAGGTGATTTAATGTATGTTTATTTTGGTAATTTATCGAATGAAACCAGCTATTGATCGTGTTGGTTCTAAGTATCTTGGATACGGGAAGTTTAAGGCTTTAAGCCAACTTTAGTTGAAGAGAAGCATGTGTTACTGTGTTATTTGCACAAAATTCTTGGACACGGGGTTCTTATATGATATCTCATACTGTTCTTTCAATACAATGTTAAGACGGTTGTTTTCTAGGAAGAGTTGGTTTGGTCATTTTGCTCTGCTGTTTTAGTTTTTTTATCAGTTACTATTATAAGCAGTTCGCTTAATGCTGGGACTTTAATCGTTCCAAAGTGATTACTTCTTTGCCTGCCCTGGTGTTATCTTCAATAAATTTGGTGAGTTTGCTAATAAGCATCATACAAAAAATCTAGGACGTTCATGGTCTATACGTAATAGCTATCTGTCAGAACATTCGATCCGTTCTGTAAACTAGAAAATGACTGCTTTACGTTTTTCTCGCTGCTAATGCTAACATGTTTCCACTTCAAATTGTTGCGTAAATTGTCTCCCTGGGTATTCTGTGTTAAATTATATACCAATTTTAGATCTGCTTTTTAACAATGTATTATTGGTTTTCATATTTCTTATAATTCAGGATTGGTTACGCAAGACGGATGAGAGGAAGCAAGAGGCTGCAATTTCTACCAAGTAAACGTGGAATGCACAATGTTATTCTCATTCTCGACTGCTATCTTAGCTTGGCTTGAGGTTTTCTGCCTCCAAAATGTGTAGTTGAATAAAGATTGACTTTGTGAACCGTTTCGAGTTTCATCTGTTTCGGCACTATGATGTTATCAATTTTCTTATGATGTCTCTGTCCGGCTTAAATATTCATGTTCGTTGGCCTTAAGCTTGCCTTTTATGATATGATGCTTCTGGCTTGACATGGGGTTATATTGAATCACTTCGTTGTGATTTGGTGGTAAGTAAGGCTGAAAATTGTGAAAGGAAAATCACATGCATTATGTACTCAGCAACCCATCAGTGGACATTCTCACTAAAAGAGTGTCCGCCAATAAATAAGGTAATGCAACTGCGTTTGAAGGTCTCATGCGGCTCCATGCTTCATCCTCTCCACAGTCGTAAATCTCATTGTTATAGAAAATGGAACTAAAGAAAAATGCATAGACTAGAGAAGCGCATAACTTCTAACTAAGCCTACCGTGTATAGTAAAAATACTTCCAACTACAGGGAGCAAAGGCTAAATATTTTAGGGAGTGCTTGCAAAAATTTGATGGCGACGAGATTGCCTTAGTTGGTGAAATATGACAGGCTCCCGGTTTAGAAGATATATTATTATTTCCATTATTATTTATCTTACTTTCTTTATCTTATTTTATTAGGAGAAGAATTTAATGTCTTGCCTAACAAGATAAGTAGTATGATTAGGATTATATTTATTTGGTTGTATTCCCTCATTATTGCTTGGCTTTTATGAAATAAACATAAGAATTCTATTGAGTTATTACTCTCTTTTTCCATTCGTACGCTTCTGCCTACATCAATTGGTATCAGCAGTCAGCACGATTCGAGATACCGCAAAAAAGAAACGGAAACGAACGACGATACCCATCTCGAGGATTTGGATCGGCGCACAGATGGTCTCGACTTTCGACTCGAACAGGTGGATCGTCGCCGTTGTTATATGATTTCTAACAACGTAATTAATGATAATTATATGATAATTTGTGAGAATTTAAACGTAAATTATTCAAAGAAACGTGATTTGTGTAATCAGTGTTTTGTGTGAACCGAGTTGGAATTTTTTAGTATTAATATATATGGAATTTCTGGAGTTCGATCCTTGTACAAGAGAAAGAATCTGCTACTTATAGTATCTTTTTTGAGCTCGTATTTCGAGGTATGTACGACTGCATTTAATGCAAAGTATCTTTTAAGGGCCATTGTAGCAGTGGGGCCCACCAGAATGATGACGTGACATGTGGTGTATGAAGGCCTTGCGTACCTCGGTTTAGGTTAGTAAGTCGGTGGTGCGAAGATGACTTCGGTTCGGTAAGGTAAGCAGGTTTCTAGGTGAATTAAGTCGGTATTCGCCTCTGGTTCAGACCGAGTTGAAGTAAGTTCGTCGCATATATGCTTAACATGCGCTTAAAGCGTGAGAACTAGTTCGTGGCTGATAACATCGACTATTACCAAGTCAGTAGTCAACAGCGCGTAGAGTCTTTTTGAGGGGATCGACGAAATCAGACTGGCAATCCGTGCCATGATGAACGGAGAGCAAACGAACTTGCGACGCCACGGGTCGTGGCGGGAGAGGGTCGTTCGGGGCTCCCCGACCGTGTTCGCCACGATCGATGCACGACTTTGAGGAGGGCGAGGAAACCCTATCGGATGTTAACCCTTTTGGCATCCGATAGGACCAGCGAGAACACGACCATAACGAGTGTCGCACAGAACACTGGGACACCGGGACCATCACAGAACACGACCATCCGACGGTGCTAGTAGAAGAGGTTGATGCCTAGTTACTTACTAGCGGCACCGGTCGATGTCAATGACACTAGTAGTAACCATACCAACAGTTCTTGAACTTAGGTTAACGTTGGATAATAGTAAAATCTGGGTAGATTATGAAGGCTTGAAATAAGAGTCACTAATCTGAATCTACCTGGAGACTTGAAGTCAGATGTTATCAGTACAACAGTGAGTGCGCGTTCATATGATTATTAGTCTATCTGTGATTATGCTGAATCGATGCATAGTACGAATTTTACCACTGAGCTTAAAAGATGTGCTCACCCCGTTGTTTTTCAAGTTAAGCAGCTGGCGCGGACGCGAGACGACGGGCGTGGTCACCGTTTACTTGTGCTTTTATGTTTCCGCAAATTGTTTATAAAAACTATTGTGATTTGAATGTAATAGACTTAAACTATTTCAAACTATGTTTGGATAATCGAAAATGTGGTTGTGTTTCGAATGGTTGAAAGAAAAGAGTTTTTGAGTAATGACCAAAGAGTAATTTTTGAAAAATGTTTTCTAAAAGTTCAAATTTTCTCTTGAAAAAATCATGTATTTTCTTAAAATAAATAAACGGGTGTTACAATTGCAATCAATATTAATATTTAATGTGTAAGTTAATTAGTTTATATTTAATTCGCTCATTTTTACTATTGATAAATCTATTAAATATGTGATATATTAATTATCTAATTTATGATTTTAAATATTTTATATATACAAATATAACATCTAAAAATTTATATGCATTTATCTATTAGTACATAATTGAATACTAATATATTTAAATCTGTAATTTGCCAATCCACATTAAAAAACTCTCAATATTAAGGGACATAAATAATAATAAAACAACGAACTTCTTGAGCGTTGGCCTGACGGTTGGTGGTTGCAACTTCAGGCTTTGGGATTGAAATTAATTTATATGATATAACTGAAGTTCTTGATTCAATTCGAACTAGTACACCCATGATTACAAGAATGCTAATTAATACATATACTAAAAGTTAGGTCTTCCAATGAAATTTTTCCTTAAAAAAATATATACTCACACTACAAAAAAAAAATTGTTATATTCCAACGAAAAATCATGTGGTAATATATTCAGATATAGATTCCAACGGATATTCCAATTGAATAACTTCCGTTGGAATGGTTCCAACGAAAATTCCAGCGGAAATATTCCGTTGGAATGTGTTTTTCATTAAAATTTTAGAGGAAATTTGATAATTCCAACGACTATATTTCCAACAGCTTTTACCGTTGGAATATACAATTTTCGTTAGAATTTTTATTTCCACCCCTGTTGGAAAATTCACCGTTGGAATTGTCAAAATTTGACGAAAAATTCCAATGGAAAATTCATTCCATCGGAATATTATTGTTGGAATTTTCGATGGAATCTATTGACAAATTTCAGCGGAAATAATAGTATTGAAATATCTGTTGGAATTGTCGTTGTAATAATTTTATTAGAATATATTTCCGTTGAAAAATCATCATTTTATTGTAGTGTCATTTTTCTTAAAAAAAAAAAGGAGAATTTTTTATTAAAAATTTCATATACCTCCTTAAAAATTACTTTATTATTTATATTTATAATAAGATTTTGACTTATATGATATTCCTTACTTTGTATTATAATAACTTTTCTAATATATATGTAATTATATATGACTTTTTTTAATTGACGATATATAGTTTTATTAATTGTTAGCTAGCATTAATAGATAATTTAATTTTATAATAAAAATAAATTTATTTACTTTCGTTATACAATCGAAATAGATATCAAATCGAAGTACGTCACAAGATTACTAATTTAATATATTATACAGAAAAAGTTAAATAATTTTAAATATGTTTATAATTTAACTTAGTCAAGAGTTATATAATAATATTAAAGTTGAATGGATAGAAATAGTTACTACTCCAAACCAAAAAGTCATAATACCAACAAAATTCAAAGACGGAATTTGAAAATAATCAAAAAAGAGCTTTTCTTCTATCACCACTAAAACAACATTGTTGTCAAAAGCCACCACAACAACCAAGTCAAAATTACACAACATTTATTATAAAAAAAAAAAAAAACAAAACAAAACAAAAAAAAAAGGCATATTAAAGTTTCCAAAAACAAATTTAGTCATAGGCAGCGCTGAAGTAGCTCCGGGCCACATTGGCCGACAGTATCTGCAGCACGGCCGCGTTCGTGGGCCCCACGCACCTCGGCGTCTTGAACTGGCTGACTGCAGCCCCGAGCCCCACATAGTGATCCAAAATCTTGTGAAACGTCCCTTTCCTCACAACCCGGAGCTCGAGGGGCCCGATCGAGCCCGTCTTGCGCGAGCTCATGTAGCCCGCGTCCAAAAACGACCGGTCCAAACAATCACAACACTCTTGCAAAACCTCGTCCTCCGCTTCTCCATTTATCTCCCAGAACACAATGTAGCGGGCCGGGTCGCCAGACGGGTCGGCCCGGCTCGTGAAGTCGACCACTTCAAGCTTGCGCACGGCTAGAAGGCTCCCGGCGGCCTCGACCGCCAGCTGGAGGTCCTTCTCGGTATTCTTGTCGATGTTGATCGTGAGGAGGAGGTTCTTACGGCAAACGAATTGGAGCTTAGGGGTCGAATTGTGAAACCCTTTGACTTTGACCACGTCACCTAATCTATAACGATATAATCCTACCAAAAAAAAAAAGAAGTAGAGAAAATGAAGTTTGAGTAAAATCTAAGGTAAAGCATCTATTTTGTCAAATTATTCTTGGGTTTTGAGATTTGTGAACAAGATCCAACAAAAAGCAATAAATAAATCCATAAATAAATTATAAAACAGAGAAATGTTATCCGTAACGGGACCGTATTATAGTAGACTTGAGAAAGTCGAGGGAAAGAGTATTGTCCCACCAAATGAAATCAATTAGTGATGGGAATACTAGATTCATTTTTCCTATAGAATCAATGTCGGGCAATTCAACTGATAGTCCAAACAAATATAGGTTTAGTAGACTTTCGGATTGAGACCATGATTAATTAGGTGGGTGTCTAATGTGATAACACGCATGTTTAAGTTGTTGACTAACGCACTTTCTAAAAGGGTCAACATAATCGGGGGTCAGCTGTAAACGAAAAGTAACTTTGAAATTAGGCTGAGTGGGGAGACTTGAGACAATATTGTGAATCGACAATTAATTGTAATTTGTAAATACATTTGAACCAATATTCAGTTTTATTCAGTTTATATGCATAAAATATGGGAAAACGCTATCGTCTCGTTACAGAATCATTCCGTTGAAGTTTATAACCGTTACACCATCATGTAACTAGGAATAGATCAAACGGTTACAAACCCCGATAGAATAATTTCGTAACGAGACCGTAACATCTCCCTAAAAGAAATATGATCTTGTGGTAACGTAACTCACAGTCACATGCACCCATCTTCAGAAACAGCTCAATATAAATTTATAATATTTCACAGATGACAGATGCAAAGGGATACTAAAATAAAACAGAACAGAAAATACAAAAAAAATAAAATAAATAAATAACTATAAATATATATAAAAAAAAAAGTAAACTTCATCCCTAAAATTATGGATCCAGAGGCTAGTGGGCACTATAGAAATATTGCCAGGCCACTCTTGTTTAGCATTATAATACAGAGGAGTCACATGAAAGTTCCAACTATAAATTAGTCAAACAAGAAATAATAATTATAATAATAATAATTTTCTCAAGCCTAATCCTCTTATCATGTGAACTAATGACCATCTACTCATAGTTTATATTCTTGGGAGATGTCACGGTTCCGTACGGAACCATTCGATTGGGGTTTGTAACTGTTAGATCAACTATCCCGACGGTTACATGATGATCTAACCGGTTACAAACCCCGACGGAATGATTCTGTAACGGGACCGTAACATTTTCTTTTTGTTTATGTGTTCTGTCCAATAAATGAGAACACAATAAACAAGACATATTAAGGGGACAAGTAATTAAGTTCAAGTTGGTGATTAACAATTAATTAAACATGCATGCTTGCTTGCTTGCTTCATCTCGTGAACATATTTTTCTAACTCAAGATTTCAAGAAAATTAAACAAGAATAAATTGTAGGGTCAATATGATACAGAAAGAACTCTATCTTGATCAAGAAAAGATCGTACGGACAAATGTGACCTTTAAATTTAGAATTCAAAACAGTTAAAATTACCTGCATTATTGGTCACGATGATCTCATACTCCTCACCCAGCTTAACTTCAGTAAGCCCGACCGGCTCGGGCTCGACACACAGTTCACCGTTCTGGGCTCCATTCAAAGGGATGAATTCGAAAAACCCAATATTCGGCAAAACAGCGTAAGTCACCTGCTCGGGTGGCAACTCGGGATTAACATTAGCTCCAACCCACCCTTCGGACGACCCATAATCCGCACTACAAAGAGGAAGCCGGCCCGAATAATGTCTCAGTTTTNTCAAATACGGCTCCATTGAACCCGTCATGATCCCGTAAATATATTTCATATTCGGAAAAAGCTCCTCGATCAATCCATACCAATTGCTCAACCTCAACCTCACACACTTGCTATAAATCAAATCAGCCAATTCGGGCATCGGCTGCAGAACTTTTTCTATGGCGGCCCGGATTGAAGGGACTGTAATTCGGCTACTCAAAGATCCTTTGCGGATATCCTCCACGAGTTCTTCCCAAATTTGTTCGAATGTTCGGAAAGCGTGGACTATGCTGTGGGCGAAAGTGGAGGATACGACTTGGATTTCTTGGCGGTAAATGAGGCCGCAAAGGAGGTGGCAATAGAGGGATTGGTGGAAGTCGGGCCCGAATATAACCTCGTCCGGGCTGCAGCACGGTGTTTGCATGGATTTCATCGTTTTCTTGAATTTCGAGTTGCGATAAACATTTGTGGTGGCAGTCCCTGCGGATAGGCCGCCTTTCGTCTTGAACTGCTTGCTGCTGTAGATGAATTGCAAGGCCTTCCCGTTTGAAATCGGATACTCTCTGCGAAAAAAATCGATATTTATTAAAGACTGAAGAGCAAAAACATAAAAGAAAACCATTTTACAGAATGAAGATATATATACACATCACTACCTGTTCCTAAATGCAAAAGATGTCTTGTATATCTGTGTAGTGCTCTCCATCAGTTCATCGTTAAAAGGCACGAACTTGGGCTTCCCTTGAGTCGTGCCAGAACTGCAACAAAACCTCGGAAACTTCAAAAAACATTTGAACTAAGAAAACCTATTCCAAGAGTGATGAAATCGTAAGAACGAACTTCACCTCAATGAAATTGTGGTTATCGGTTTTCCAGTAAGAGCCGACTGATTCGTGCCGTCTGCGATTTTCTGAATATAAGCTTCAAAGTCGTCGTGAGTGGCAATGGGAACTCGGGCCCTATAACTATCGGGATCGGTCGAACCGTTAAGCCCCCATCTCTGCAAGTACTCTGTCTCACCATTTTCTTCCAAGATTCTCTTCAGTGTCTCCCTCTGAACTCTACCGGCATCCCTGGTCAACGACTCGAACTCTTCTATGAATGCTTCCGGGTCGAATTTTTCCTCCATTTTCTCCAACATATTAACAAAACAAGCAAGCTGCAGTTACAAATAGATTGAGCCCTGAAAGATATTATAATCATGGCAACACAGAAGCTGGGATTAAACTCAAATAAATAAATTCAAGTTCACACAATCTTTATGGACGGAATAACGGAAAGTTTGTTCCTTTTCTACGCTAGGTCAATAGAAGCGTTGAATTCTTGGTCGGAAAAGCAGATAGATGGACGGAAGTTAATTAAAAAAGAAAGAGAAGGATCCTAAAACTCCCGTTACGGAATCTGTCGGGGTTTGTAATCGTCGTACAGTTGATATAACTGTTACAAACCCCAACGGAATGATTCCGTAACGGGACTGTAGAATCTCCCACCCTAAAATTATTATCTGATGACAGTAAATGCTACTTCTGGGTAAAGAAAAATTCACTCTACAATTAGAAAGGGGAAGGTCTGAAAACAAGGCACCTTCTCTATTTTCACCATTAATGGAGAAAATTTAGCACCTAAAATTTTGCAGATAATAATAATAATAATAATAACAGGAGAATCACGCGCGGTCTCACAAAAGTTGGCAAGAAAAGTCCAACACTAACTTTCAGAATTAAAGAAAACAACAAAAGGTCTCCCAAAAATTCCCAAAATAAAAATTTACAGAGCTACAAATAAAGACCCTCGATTGTAAGGGGCGGAAAGGAACCCATAAAGAAAAAAAAAAAAATTATTTAATTCGTAAAAACAGAATTGGAAGTAAGAACATCGCAAGAGAAGCAAAACCCATGTTACAGAAAACATTAAAGATTCAGACAATTCACGAAACCTTAACCGGAAAAAGGTTGTGAAAGGAAAAATCTCTTACACAGTAATGGTTTTTGATGGGTCTGTGGTTTCTTGGAGTTTGACTCACTCTATCAGTGTATATGATGATGAGTGTGCTGTCTGATACAGAGGATGACAAAAATTCAACTTCTTTGTGAAAAAAAAAAAGGAAGAAAAAAAAAAAGGAAAGAAAAATTGATGGGTTTATACGGTTGAAGGCAAATGAGACAAGATGTGTGAGCAGAAAAATATGGAGAGTGAGAGAGTGAGAGTAAGACGAATTGAATTGGAGGAGAAAAATGCCGAGTCTTTATAATGGGATGATGAAGATTCTCTCTCTACCTCAAATTGGGTTTTGTAGATATTATTACAGCACGTTGACGGAATTGTTCATTAGTGTTAAAAGATAATCTATACTAGTACAGATCCCGTGCGATGCACGGGGTACACAAAATTAATGTCATTTATCAAGTCTTATAATTATATAAATGAATGAAGAAAAAAATATACGAGATATATATATAGTACGTGATTTGTAATAGGCCAAAATGTGAACACGGGTGATGCACGGGGTGCACAATTTTAAGGTCATTTATTAGTACAGAGTCCGTGCGATGCACGGGGTGCACAATTTTCTAGTATGTGTAATACAAATACATACCGTATGCACGGGACAGAAGCACTAAATGAGTTATTTCCACAGAGCTTGCTCGTTAAGCAGCTCCTGAACACGGGTGCACAATTTGTAGTACGTACTATAAAATCAGAACAGATTTTCATACAATTAGATAAAAAATTAGATAATAAATAAAGCCTTTTTATTTAGTAAAGATTTTACGTACTTTTTTTACTTATCGGATGTTATGAGATTTTTTTTAAACCGATTTGATGGGATATAATACAAATACAATTAGAGGATTGAACAAAATCAGAACAGATTTCTATACAATTAGATAATAAGAAGGAATTAGATAAAGAATAAAAGAAATTAGATAAAGAATTTTAAATCTACCTTTTTTAGTATAAATAGACTTTACGTACAAATTTTGACTTCACCGATTTTATGAGATTTGTTTTGACAAAATCAAAGACGAACACTGAAAAAATGTTTCTATTAACATTTACAATGTGTATTTAATGTTTTATTTTGGCAAATTATTCTTTTTGAATGTGATATATAAATATTAAAAATACTTAAAATATTTTATAACATCTATAAAAACATCTAAAATATTCTATATTATTCACAAATAATGTTTGAAGCTACCTAAATTTTTCTAAACTACCCGTATGTCTAAAAATTCTTCATTTAACCTCCATTGTGTATATATATAGAGAGAGCAAATGTGTAAAAAAAATTATACAAATAAT